GTTCCAGCTACTTGGAAGGCTGGGGCGGAAGGATCGCCAGAGCCCAGCAGGTCGAGGCTGCGGTGGCCGGGAGCGTGCCACTGCCCTCCAGTCTGGGCGACAGAGTGAGACTCCAACTCAAAAAAAAGAAAAGAAAAATTTACTCTGAGCCAAATATGAATGATAGGCCCATGGCATAATCCTAAGAGGTCCTAAGAACATGTGCTCAAAATAGTTGAATTGCAACTTGGCTTTATACGTTTTCAGAGAGACAGGAGTTACCAGCAAAACATAAATCAGTACATGTGAGGTGCACATTGGTTGACCCAGAAAGCCAGGACGACTCTAAGTGGGGACTTGCAAGTTACAGGAAGGTTCAAAGATTTTCTGACTGGCAGTTGGTAGCAAGAAGCAACCTTGGTCTAAAGAATCTTGGAATTAGCAAAAGGAAATGCCAAGCTAAGATGAGAAGAGAGTTGGGGAAACCAAGGTTCTTGATATGCAGATGAAGCCTCATAGGTGGCAATTCTGCGAGAGAATAGATGGCAAATGTCTAGTTCTTCTGGGGACCTCCAGGAAGGGGATCTTACGCAGATGTCAGTTTCCCTAAGAGATGGCTTTGCAAGATAAAATATTTTTTATTTCCTTCTTTATCTGTTATGCTATGCCAGAGTCAGGTTGGAAAGTAAGCCACATTATATAAGGTTAATAAAAACCCATCTGAGCTGGGTGCAGTGGGTCACGCCTAGAATCCCAGCACTCTGGAAACAGAGGTGAGAGGGTTGCCTGAGCCCAGCAGATCAAGGCCGCAGTGACTGAGAGCATGCCAGTGCACTCCAGCCTAGGCGACAGAATGACACTCCAACTCAAAAAAAAAACCAAAAACCCATCTGGTGAAACTTTACAGTTTGTAGGGCACAACTCCCAGGCCTCCTAGAAATTTGGCCAGGAGATGAAAAAGGTCAGAATTTAGTCCTTAGTCTCCCCTTTTGGTAAAAACCCATTCCATGGATTGCATGTGTAGGACAATAAACAGCAGGAGAGCCACAGTGCTAAGAAGGTTTATTCCTGCAAATGTCTATTTAGTGACAATAGTTTTAATATTATCGATGTCGGATCATGGAGGAATGATTTAGTTTGAGCTGATTTTTTTCTTGTTTTTCTTTTTTTGTTAAGTTTTGTTTTTTGAGTTGGAGTCTCACTCTGTCACCCAGACTGGAGTGCAGTGGCCGCTGCTGGCCACTGCAGCCACGACCTGCTGGGCTCCAGAGATTCTTCCGCCTCAGCCTTCCAAGTAGCTGAAACTATAGGCACACACTACCACACCCGGCTGATTTTTGATTTATTGTAGAGATGCGATATCGCCAAGTTGCCCATGAGGGTCTCGAACCCACGGGCTCAGGCAATCCACTCACCTCGGCCTCCCAAAGTGCTAGGATTATAGACTTGAGCCACCACACCCGGCCAGTTTGACCTTTTACAGCCAGCTTAAGGGGCAAGAGAGAGTCAGGCCTGGAGTTCAATCTGAAAAAAAAAAAAATCCTGGACCAGTTCTATTTTGAAAGCTGTCAGTTTGGGCCTTTAATTGTGTCCTTTTTCTTTTCCGGTATCTGGTATAGCATTGACAAGAGACATATAATGATAACATAGCAATAAGTATCATAAAAATGGTGATGGTTACACATATAAAAAAGTTATAGGTAGAATCAGAGGGCAGTAAATAACCTAACCAGTCAGAAATCTTCTACATACATCCTCACCCGTTAGGGTTCAGATGGGGTGAGGGTTGAAGGAGAGGTGGAGAGGGGCGCAGGGAGAGAGGCACAGCACCGCCGGAGCTGGCAAGCCGGGGGTGCGCGCCAGGAACCCGGAGATCCGAGTAAATGCAAAGAATTGCAACACAGAGGGGAGAGAAGAGATTTACTTAGGAGAAGTTCACCCCCCACAGACAGGGAGCGGGCCCACGCTCTAGGTGAGTGTGGCGTCGTAGCCCCTCAAAGCCCTGGCTTAAATCCTTTTCCTTAGAGATGTTGTAACCAGGTGGACGTGACTTCCGTGTCGACCACCTGTGGATGTCTTGGAGCACCTGTGACAGTCCCACTAATGTCCGCCCCTGTGATCATAGCCCCTAGAGAAGGGCGTGACAAGGATTCTAATTCTCCTGGACTTCCCAAACGACATTCCTTCGAGCTAATGGAGGGTGCACCTCCCCTTATCTCCTAGGCATTCCCAGTGGGTAGCTTCAGGGGATCCTTGGCTTCCCTGTAGATAGGGCCCCATTTACTGGAAGATCGAATCCCCACCTGCTCTCCCTCTGAGCGGTCATAACTTTTGTGATTACAAGTTTCATGACTTTTACAGTCCTTGACCAATGTATGATATCTTAGGCCTTGTAAATTCCCTTTACTCTAGGCAAGCTTGATGGACACTATGAGGTACCTCTGACACCTGGCACCAGGAAGTCTGTTTCTGAAAAGACAAAGTCGGCAAAGTTAATTTTACTTAAAGTGTGCACTGCTCCAAAAGCACAGCTTCTACTTTCTCATCGTTGCGTCAGGGCTTAAGGACAAGATGAGAAACGGCTTCCCACTCGGTCTGCCCTTTCGTTCACATTCTTTAATCAGACTTACAATGTGTTTACTTGCCTTATTAAGCTTCATTTGGTCCTTATTTACTTATTTATTTAGAGTCGGGGTCTCCCTCTGTCACCCAGGCTGGAGTGCAGTGGCACTGTCACAGATCACCTCCTGGGTTCAGGCGATCCTTCCACCTCAGACTCCCAAGTGGCTGGGACTACAGGAATATGCCACCGTACCTGGCTGATTTTTTTGTAGAGACGAGGTCTTGCTATGTTGCTCAGGCTAGTCTTGAACTCCTGGGCTCAAGCAATTCTCCTACCTTGATCTCACGAAGTGCTGGGATTATAGGTGTGACCCACTGTGACTAGGAATTGCTTACCTAGATAATTTAATGTTTAGCTCCCTGTGAGCTGCTTTTTCCTGTCACTGTCAAAGAGTTAGGTAGGGCTTATGCTTTTTTTGCTCAAACATTAAACAAAACAAAACAAAACTTGATCTATTTATTAGTTTACAAGCCCAGTATGGTGGCTCACGCCTATAATCCCAGCACTTTGGGAGGCCAAGGTGAGAGG